TGACCTTATGATCATCTTATCATCCTCCACTGGTGCCCCGCCAGCGTAAACCGTTAGCGCAGGCGGGAGCACTATTCCATTATCATCCAATAAAAAAAAGCTACTATGACGTAAGCGTCCCCTAAGAAAGAAAACAAAATTAAAACCGTAAACATAACACCTAATTAATAATAATACTTCTAAAAAAGCAAGTAGGTATAACAATAAATGTCAAGTAAATGGGAAACAGACGAACGAGAACTGCACAGCTAGTATAAAATATAAAACAAATCTGCATTGTCAATTAATATGGTCTGTAACAATGAGAGATCCCTACAATTATCAGTTGGTAGGTAAAGAACGTGGATATATGTGGATGTCACAAGTATTTTGGGATATCTACGTACTCATAAGTATGTATGATAACCCGCTGGCCCTCGTTGTATGTATACATTTACAGAACTATGTCGAATAACCGCCAGTTTACGAGCTGTGCTCTGTACTCAATGGAATATATGCGAGGAAATCGTATTTTCCGATGTGTCATGTGGGTTTTGACACCGTTCGAACTGATTAGTCATATCGCGAAGATATTGTTTAAATCACTACGAGATCGCCTATCACACAAAAAAAAAGGAAAGGGGGTTGTTAATTTAATAACTAGCTGTACCCGTGACTTTGTCCGCGTGGAAATTAACTATATTATTCTAAAATAAAAGTAGCTTAAGTACTCCTTATTACATCGGCTGCCTGCTAAAAAAAAGTCCCGTCAAAATAGGTCCAGCCATTTCAGAGATTAGCCGGAACAAAAAGACCGACAGACAGACAGACAAAAATGATAAAAAAAAATATTTTGGTGTATGTACCGTATTTATATTCATATGCATGTAATACAAAACGGTTATTTCAATATTAAGAACAGACACTCCAATTTTATTTATATGTATAGATAATAATAATCTCAGATCAATTCACACTGCACCTCTAGCCCCAAGCTAAGCAGAGTTTGTATTATGGGTATTAATTACAAATACATTTTATTTTGTAAATACATACATAATATACATAGAAAATACCCAGACCGACACAATAGTACTCATGTTTCTGCCGTGCGAGGAATCGAACCCGCGACCTTCGGAAGCAAGGCGGTGTACTAAACCGCTACACCACCGGGGCCGTCCTGATTAAGTAGGTATAGATATGTAGATCGTTCGCGAATTTGGTACAGATGGTAATTAGGTCAGCAAATGTTCCGCTATGAACGTCGCCGTCCGCACTGATACCGGCCGAGGGAGCGCGCCGCGCCGTAACGACGGAAGCTTAGTTATCTCAGTCCGCTGATAGCCACGCGACCTCTGATAAAAATGTATAAAAAAAAGCTTTTGTGCTAACATTTTATATCATTAGTATTGCAGGGTAATAATACGATGTTGTTGGTAGAGACGATGTATATTACAGTCTAGCTGTACCCGCGACTTCGTCCGCGTGGAATTCAACAACAAAATAATTAGAGAATTTTTCTAAAATAAAAGTAGCCTAAGTAACACCTTATTACATCAGCTACCTGCCAATAAAAATCCCGTCAAAATCGGTCCAGCTTTTCAAAGATTAGCCGGAATAAACAGACAGACAAAATTTGTAAAAAATGTTATTTTGGTGCATGTACCGTATTTATATTCATGCATGTAGTAAAAAACGGTTAGTTCAATATTACAAACAGACACTCCAATTTTATTTATATGTATAGATAATAATAGACTGATAATATGTACATAGAAATATTGATCTTATATACTAAATGACAATAGGAAAACGTAAGGTGGGGTGACACAGTTTAGACACGGCAGTGCTTAGTAGACAATATTGAATTTGTTTTACTAGACATTATTAATTGTAATTATTATATTGATGTATCTAGATAACTGTGTCCTATAATTTGCATTCTATTATATTTATATTATTATACTAGCTGTCCAGGCAAACGTTGTTTTGCCTTAAAATAAAAAAAAAATTAGGGGTGGACTACCCCTAACATTTAGGGGGATGAAAAATAGATGTTGGCCGATTCTCAGACCTACTCAATACGCTCACAAAATTTCATGAGAATCGGTCAAGCCGTTTCGGAGGCGTATGGGAACGAAAACTGTGACACGAGAATTTTATATATAAGATATATAATCGTTCACATAACACTATTATAAAATAAATCCACGATGACTGTGTATTGTAGATACTTGTTTATTTTTACAGAATCGAACATTCTCGTATCAGACTCGTATGCATGTATTTGTACGTAAATGTACATCCGTTGCGTCAACATAAACAAACTCATCACTGCACTATGAAAGATTAAGTTACAACTACACAGTAAATCAAATATGTATTAACTAACTTTGCCCGCGGTAACTCGCATGAAATAGAAATAGAAATAATCTTTATTCAAATAAACTTAATATAAGCACTTTTGAATAGTCAAGTTTTTTTATTCTACCGCTTATTCGGAATGCAGATTCATCACAAGAAGAATAAGCAAGAAACTTGTGTGTTGCTCTGTAATTTATATCCTTTGTATTATTCTTATCTGTAAGCTTTATTACTGTAAAGTTTCATCAAAATCCGTACAGTACAGTACGTGCAAGTAACAGGCTTCCATCTAAATATATTTTTCTTTCTTTCTTTCTATCCATCCATATTCACAAACTTTCGCGTTTTTAATATTTTGTAAGATTCGTGAAGCAAAATTTATCAAATTCAAAATATCTTTATTCATGTAGGTCTATTACAGACTCTTATGATATGTCAAATATACCGTCAGTTCGAAATGATTTCGAGATGTGAAGAACTGACAAGAAACTCAGCTCTAGCTTTATATGAAGAAGTGCAAAAAGCAAAGATATTTTTATAAATACATAGTCTTAATTTAAAAATACATATGTATATATACACATTAACAATATTCATAATATTAATACTAGATTTAAAGACAAACTTGCTGTCCCCAAGTATCGTTTAGAAAAAGTCAATAGGTCTTTTATGGGAATAGGTATAAAATTTACAATAAGATATCAAAGGATATATTGGGATTACCCTTAAATGAATTCAAAACATCTGTTAAATCATATTTACTGAGCAAGGCCTATTACTCACTAAACGATTACTTGAATGACGAGCGTGCATGGCAATAGTTTTCATGCACGGGACTTTTTTAAATGTTAGACATAGACACCTATATAAATACCTATGCATTGTAAATAAACTGGCTTTTAAAAAAAAAGTAATTCAATTGAGTTTCTTGTCAGTTCTTCTCAATTGGATCTATATACCGAATTGGACGGTAGGGAAAAAAATATATAGTAAAAACTTGACGTTCATAAGCGGCTAAAATGTCCTACATGAATAAATGATTCTTGAATTTGAATTTGTATTTGAACAGTATTTGTATAAACATTTAATAATTATAGCATTCAGTATAAATTTGTAAGATTTTTTTGGGGCCATCGGCTCTACTACTATAAAGAAGAGACTGAGTAAAACATATTTAGAAAATTAAAATATCTCTATTAAATATTACTAACTACATCCCTATATAGTAGAAAACAAAGTCGCTGTCGCTGTCTGTCCGTCCCTAAGTAGATGCTTAAATCTTTAAAACTACGCAACGGATTTTGAAGCGGTTTTTTATAGATAGAGTGATTCAGGAATGTTTATATATATATAATACATGTCCACACGTGCGAAGCCGGGCCGAGTAACTAGTATATTATAAACGTGAAAATTTGTTACTATGCCTGGATGGATGTTTATTTGTTACTCTATCACGCAAAAACTACTGAACGGATTTTCATGAAATTTTACAGTAATATAGCTGGTTGGTCTATATCGGACTGCAGTTATTGCTATAATTCGACGCAATCACTGTATTGTAATCTCGCTCCTCTACTCTAAAATGCGCTGACACGTTAGGTTGTAATGACTTCTCCAGGTGACCCGACGTGTTAGCTTTGTTATTCTTATCTTCATGCAGTAGAGAGTGATAGCGCCTATGACATATGCGACATGTCATGGCTATTCGACATTTAAATACTGTATGTAATAAACAATTATAACATAAATTATTGGTTTTCACGTAGTGACTTCTTTGTTGAGGGTCCATTTTTGCAAATTCTTTACAATGACACAGTGTATGATTCTCTTTGCACATGAAACACGTTTTTTCAGTAGTTGTAGCATGAAAAGTTCGTTCCTTAGTAGCTACTGGCTTTTCTTTTATTGATGATGATGTATAGGGATTAACAAGCTCCAATGTACGAAATTTAGATTCCAGAAACTTCTTCAGCTCCGTCCACGAAGGTAAATCTTCTGAGTTTTCTTTGTATGCATACTCTTCCCACTCCTTATGTGACTCCAAGTCATATTGATGCACTCGGTTGTAGTATATATCAGAATAATAAAAGGCTACAGATTTTATGCGGATAACACCGCGGGCAATCAATGTACTATGTCAGGTTGACCTCCACGTGGTTCCCCCTGGAAACCATCGTGATAAATTACATGTGAATTTGTCACGATGGGCTAACTGACCTGACCTCATACTCATCTTATCATCGTCCACTGGTGCCCCGCCAGCGTAAACCGTTAGCGCAGGCGGGTGCACCATTTCATTATCACATAAAAAAAAAAACACCGCGGGCAGAGCTAGTAACTAACAATAATTACAGACACCCTGCTAAGTGAATTTGAAATCACTGGCATCTAACTTCAGAATACACCTAAACTTAGAAATAGTTTTTTTTTTATTTAATATGAGTAGAATGAGTTAGGCAAAGGATATAATATTATATGACACCAAAAATGCCGACAAACTGCCGAAGTGCAACACCCGTTAAAATAATGCAAAAAAGTTAAATAAAATGTACCCATCGTCCTTTAGATTGAACATGAACTGAACCTCATCCTATATGATTCAGTCACTCGAAGATGTAGTATTGATTCTAGATTTAATTATGAAACTGTGTACTCACCAATTGATGCACTGTTTTAGCAAGTCTTCAGTCCGGGACGGGAGCACTGTTAGGAGTGACCGTGCGGCCGACTGACTGGTCCGTGACTGATCGGCGACTGAAGCCTGCAGCGGATGTCGGAGTGCGCGGGCGCCGCTGCCGCCGCACCGCGCCTCTTCCTCCAGATTTCACCCAGTTTGCGTATTAAAACCCAATTCCCGCCATATATACGCATTTGATTTATCTTTTTAGAATGGTCTGGATCTTTTGTTTTTATTACGAACCTTAGGAACTTATTTGACAGGCTCGGTGGTCTAGTGGTTTAGCACACCGCTTTACTATCCGATGGTCGTGGGTTCAATTCCTCGCACGGTACAAACATTTGTATTCATGAGTATGATTGTCTGGGCGTGTATTTATTAAAAAAAAAAATTCATGTATTTATATCAGTCGCCTAGTACCAATAACACAAGTTCTGCTTAGCTCGGGACTAGATGACGCTGTGTGAATTGTCCTGAAATATTATTATTATTATAGGTCATTCAGTTCTGTTAACCTTAGGACAAAAGCGCATAGGTCAGGTCAGCACATCGTAGCAAATTCACCAGGAATTTAGCTCGATGGTTTCTAGGGACCGCGTGGAGGTCAACCTGACAAGATTCATTGCTGGCAATGGAATTATTGTTCCACATTGCTAATACCTCCCCGACCGTACCTAAGGTTAAAAATCTCGTATTTATATAAGGATCCACGTGTATTTTTTTTGTTCTGTTGACTTTATTTTTTTATTATGTGTGTGCTAGAAAGCACTGTAGCCCAGCTGTTTACTAGTCGTCGTGAGAGGTGATGACAGAGGCGGATCGTGAATTTGTGGGGCCCTGGGCTAAATCTACTTAGGGGTCTATCTAATAATATTACTAAACTAAAAAAATACACCGACCAAAAACAAGCGACCAGAAATTACCCGTTCCTTTCGATAGACTCGCACTTGCATGTGTTGATTGATCTCAGGGTTGCCAACCTTATGAAAGGTTTTTTAACATTCTCGAATTTTTTTTACATTCTAAATATCGTTTCAGCGGGGACTGAGGCCCTTTGTATCCTCGGGGCACTGGGCTGCAGCCCAAAAAGACCTTAAGTACTAGCCCTGGGTGCGGAGTTTAAATAGGGAACCAAAAAAATTGTGTCAATTTATAATCCAATGATTGGATTGCGTCTTTTGTTCCTTTTTGTACTCATGAATTATGTACACTGTCAAAGAATTAATTTTACATTCTCTGGTCACTTTACTCGATAGAGGATCGAATTGAAATCGATATTTAAATTAGGATTCGAGTAGACCGTCATTGTCGACGTATTCGGTGGTCTTGCGCTTTACAATCGAGTCACGAGTTCGATGCCTTGCATGATACATACATTTGTATTCACGTGTATGATTGTTTGAATATTATCTACGTATTCACAAAAAAAATGTATCTAAGTATGATATATTAGTTGTGTAGTACCCATAACACAAGCTCTGCTTACCTTGAAACTGGATGTCGCTGTGTGAATTGTCCCGGGTTATTATATTATTGTACTATGGTAAAGTAAACTAGGCATATAGGAGGTAGGGTAGGGCAAAATAAAACTCACAGCGTGTTACAAAAAGTACGTCTCTATTACAGAGAGCGGCACGAGCGGCGACGGGCGGCGCGACTAGCGTCCCTCGCCGCCCGCCGCCGGACACTGCACCACACGAATTTATAGAAAAAAAAAATCACTGACAACCACAAACTCTCGACCCCAAACAGCCACAGAGTAATACACATACAGAAGGAACACTTTTAAGCCAGTGCTCATAATGAAAAATTGAAATAATTTTAAACACGACTATTATAAACACTGCGGACATGTCAGTAGTGGTTTACATTATGTTTTTTCGGTTATTAATATAAAAATTTAAATGTCTATCTACTTTAGCTTCAAGACTATTTTGCCTTTCCTTTCAACATACATTATTTTATCAGAAACTGACTAAAACTCGTCAATAGACAATATAGTGTAGCGGAAAGCTTATTTGTTATGAACTATTGAGTTATATTTTTTTTTTAAACTTATGTTAATTTATAAAGTAGCATGTGTGCAGGTGACAGTTTCGTTTCACTCTTAAAAGTTGCCGTGATTTACAAATTATGACTTTTTTCTTTCAGCTGTACCACATTCGTGATATATCAAATCATTAATAACTGTACTAACTTAAATTTAGCGACGGTAAAGTGTAGCAATTGTTAAATGAAGCAATTGTCACCCGCATCATACTACAGAGCACTTACTATAGTTTCGTTTGTTTTTCTACAGGTTACTACTATCTATATGGAGCCAGTGCTCAAGCTTTCAGTCTGTATCTGTTAGTACTCTGTGGTATTGCTTCTACTAGGATAGTATTTTACATAAACAAAATCCTGCGTGAAAACATAACCAAGTGATGTCGTCGACAGCGTGGTGGGGTCGGGGGCTGTTCACATCAAGATCATAGGTTCACAGTTGGGGGGCGGGCCCCTTCTCCGTGGGGACCGTACACTGGGTGTCCCCACGAGAAGGGGCTTTCATATTAAGTGCATCCACTACCAAATCATCTTAACATCTGTATTAATTGTCAATTTGGAAATACAACTACACGATTTGCAATCAATAAGACAGACTACTTGCATCCCTCGGTGTTGTCTAAGTAAATTGGGACTTGTATGTTTGTAATTGATAAATTGAAGACTTTATAATTATTTCACTTAGAGAAACCTACTATTAGGGGCTATCCATAAATTGTCAAATTTTATTAAGGAGGTAGTCAGAAGTGTGTTAATCTGACAAGGAATGAAAGAGCCCGAAATTACTAAGGATGTGGTGTAATCTATACATATAAATAAAATTGGAGTGTCTGTTTGTAATATTGAAATAACCGTTTTTTACTACATGCATATAAATATAAATACGGTACATACAACAAAATAATTGTTTTTACATTTTTTGCCTGTCTGTTTGTTCCGGTTAATTTCTGAAATGGCTGAACCGATTTTGACGGGACTTTTATTAGCAGGTAGCTGATGTAGCAAGGAGTAACTTAGGCTACTTTTATTTTAGAAAAATAAAGTTAAATTCCATGCGGACCAAGTCGCGGATACAGCTAGTCTTATTCATAAAAATCTCGTGTCACAATGTTAGTTACCATACTCCTCAGAAGCGGATTAACCGATTTTTATATAATTTTATATGCATATTCAGTAGGTCCGAAACTCAGCCAACATCTATTTTTAATACTCCTCAATAATAAGGGTAACCCACCCTTAATTTTTTTAATTTCTATTTCATTATGATTTAGCATTGAAAAATACATACAACTTCCAATTTTCACCCGTCTATCACCCGACCCCTATTTTTTAATAGCGATTTTAATTTATATGGTAAAACGTTTGTGGTTTCATTATTAACTTATAAATATTGCATATCATGTAACTGTTGGAAATTGACACCAAACCGCTAGATTCGGACAGTGAATGTTCTTAATACAACGAGCCATACGTCCAGCCTGATGCAGTGATTCAACAATAAAATAGTCCTGTAGTGCAACGATTGTAGTGACTTGTCGGTACGGCCCGGACGGAGCGCGTTTGGCAGTCACACTAATCATCCCATACATCAAAATACAACTATTACAGTCTTCTAATGGAAGGGTCCGTCATACTCGTGAACGGGTGCTGCTTGTGGGGACTGGTCTTGGTTAGGAACACTGATTAGACTATTTGCTTTTGCAATATCATATGCTGGTGGTCACGATATTCTTCGAAAATTGATTTTAAAAATGAATCTGTATTATTGTAAACATGTACATTTATTAGAAAAGAGTACAAGCTGAGTTTCTTGTCAGTTCTTATCTCGAAATCACTCCGAACTGACGGTAGATTTGACATATCATAAGTCTGTAATAGACCTGCACGAATAAAGATATTTTGAATTGAATTGGTAGCAAACAGGATTACGTCCCATTAATCAGTCGTAAATTAAATATTTAATATTGTCCTTTAATTTTCATTAATATTGCTCACTGTTTTCAATTAGGGCTTCCGCAGACCAATAACAGTACCCGGGTATACATTTTCCATCAAAACAAAACATTAGGATAATGGCGAACTAAAACTATACGTGTATACAAGTTTATAAAAAAAAGTGCTTTATAGTACCTAAAAACTGTCCCTCGTTTACTTAAGACCCTTATTGGGTTATTACATTATCAAATATATAGTATAAAAACTGTTGAAGTAATCAATTACGTAATAATCTCCGTATCTTTGAATATAGTAGCCATATCCTTCTTATAAATGTACGTACATATAAATTTTAGTAAAAATCTAGTGTGGGGATCTCGTGACCCGTGACAGATTCTTCGGATACCTAGTAACCCACCAGGTTTCCGCAAATTTGAATTTTGAAGTTTTACATGCCTCAAAAACTCTTTTACATTATGTATGTATGCACCACTTTATATTATGTATGTTTTTGAGGTGACAATAAATATATTATTATTACAATTATGTACCTTCTATTGGACTTTAATATAATGAAAATTTTTTACATCATTTCAACACCGACAATTGCTAACAATTCTCATTTTAAAAGTATATAAATATCTACAGCAATGCGTTTGCGATTATGCATGAATCGTTTTACAGTTGCAACTGGATTGCCAGTTACAAACTTATTTGTACGGTTAGAAATAAATTTGTAACTGGCAACTTTTCAAGTGTTTATATATACTTGCAAACCTGTTGGTATTAGTTCTCATTTCAATTAAAAATTGTTAGCAATTTGGATACACAATTAAACTGGTATATGTTATAAATAAGTGGTAAAACAAATCTTCTTTTTGATATTATGTAAGTCCAAAATGTATATACAATTCTATCTTATTTGATAGTGTAATAACTCTTTTAGACGTGGTATGCTTCGTACATTATGGACCAGGGGCGGATCGTGAATTTGTGGGTCTCTGGACTAAATTTACTTAGGGGCCTACGTAATTATATTACTCAATTAAAAAAATCCCCGTTCCTTTCGATAGATGCGCACTTGCCTGGGTTGATTGATCTCAGTG